AGAGGGTACAACACAGGGCTACAAGACTGGTGCCCGCCCTACAGGAGCTACCATACTCCTCCAGGCTACAGAAGCTGCACCTACCTTCACTCAGTTACAGGAGAGTGAGGGGGGACATGATACAGATGTACAAGATCATGACAAGGAGGGAGAGAGTGGAACCTGAGGAGTTCTTTGAAATAAGCCAAGTGGAGAAAACACGAGGGCACGCGTATAAGTTGAAGGTCCCACTGGCAAAAGCCGCAGTAAGGAGGCACTCCTTTGCCATAAGAGCAGTGCAGTTATGGAATTCCCTACCCAGTTCGGTGGTTGACGCCGAGAGCGTCAACTGCTTTAAGTCGAGGCTGGATAAGCACTGGAGCCAGAGAATACATATAGAATGAGAAGAGGGTGTTCACCACAGGCAGAAATGCCTCTTATCACCAAGGGATTCTCAAGGTATTCTCAAGGTATGTAATGAAATACTTACGACATGTCTTCCAATGCTGGAGTATGCAAAGTAGTTTTTACAAGCGAGCAAGAATGTTGCTTACGTTTATATGGCATTGCAAATATTCAAACATCCTTAATACAACACTCAATAAACTCATTACTTGTACTGCAAACATTCATGCCTGGTCTTTCTACTGGAATTTCAAAAGAATCGAAAATGTACAGGAAGCACTTGAAAATGTACATGAAGACTCGCAAATTTTCCAAAACCATAAAATGTCATTTCCCGAAATGACAAGGATATAACCTTACGGAGCTCTTGTTTGGCGATGGATTCAGGTCATTTAACGTGTTGTAATCAAACCCTATTGACAACTAATCACCAATAATTGAACAAACAGACAACAAAGGACCGAGTATCACCCTGCTGGCTCGAGGTAATGAGCCATTTATCGGCACATTTCCATAAAACTTGCAGTCCGAGAAAAACAACACCAGTCAACTCACTCAGTATGCTGCTATGGCCATATGACAGCGTTTTTGTACTGCTGTAGCTAAATAATTCAAACGAAAGGCTATGAGTAAGTTAGGACCGTGACATTTCTTATCACTTTTGACCAAAACACGCCTTTTTTGGAGGGTTGTCGCTGGATAGTTTTGAAGCCCAGCTGTGGAGTGTGGAGGTTTAGGCTATGACAGCCGTTCGCGCACATGGTCAGAAATCGGCCTTCAAAATAGCACTGTTGTATCAAAGTCAACAAAACAATATTCAGATCGAAAAACCGTCATATAATACATGGAAAATTGTTTGTCACACCTTATTTTTCACGCTGCCACGTCCTGGAGTGCCTCTGAGAGAGTCTTCCTCGTCGCTGGAGAACTCGCCTTTGCCTGGCGTCCCCCTCCCACCTTTCAGCAGATGTTCCCTGTACAGTTCCACGTACACGTCTTTCCTCTGGTCCCCGCTCGGCAGAGAGACTCCGGCCTCACGAAGTTCCCGCTTCAGCTGGTCTTTAGTCAAAACAGAGGGGTTTGACACAGACATTTCTGGCGATCCGGCGGGAAAAGTGCCAAAAACACGTCAACAAAAAAAGATTGGCCACAAAATGAGTGGTCCCGCGGGATTATCGACAGGCGTACATACGCTTTCTGTGATTGGACATTTCGAAGAACCCGCGAACATGTTCGGTAAAATGAGCCAATCAAACATCACAATGTAAACAGATCACATTTCAAAATCCCGCGCAAGCGTATCGTTACTGTGACCCTTGACCCATTTTGGCGGGAGAAAACTTTGCTACAAAATACATACGAACAGGAGAAAGAAAAATGCGAATTTTGACGTGGAATATTAATGGTGTCAGAGCTACGAAGGCCCCACTAAAGCAGGTGCTTGATTCTCTGGATGCAGATATCGTGTGTCTACAAGAGACCAAAGTCACGCGTAAGTTTATTAGATTTTTACTGTAATCAAGAAGGGTGTGGGAGGGGGGTGTGGACATCCGATATCCGGACATAAAATACTGTAACGCAAATTGAAAATCAGACATATACATCAAGCGAGGTACCGCTGATCCTACTTGTCTTTACCCCTAAAGTAAGTTTCCTGCTGACGATTTTAAGAATCCCCTTTTTGTGTTGTAAAAATTAGACGTAAAAATTAAGCTCAAAACGGTTTCACTTTTCACAGACACACTTTCACTTTTTAATGTATTTGCCTTAAAACTATCGGTACAGCACTTGTGAACTACATGTATATTTAGTCAAGGCAAACCATGATAACTATCCAACTTTTTTTTTACTACGACATACCAACACATATAGGGCTTGAGCTAGCTTGAGCCCTGACAAAACTTTAATGCATTGTCTGTATCATATGTGTTCACATGATAGGAGACCAGTTGGACGAGGCATCAGCCATTGTGGAGGGATACAGTTCTTACTTCTCCTTTTCTAGAGCTAGGAGTGGGTACTCAGGTAAGAAATCCAGGTTTAACATTCTCCCTACTGCCTAACCTTGTAACAAATACAGATCTGGTTCCAAAAGGTTCAGCAGGAACTGATATTAGATAATCCTTTATTTGCAAAATTGTGTAAACTCTAATACTTCCTGGAAGTGTGAAATTTTTTATCCTGACTATTCTACGTCATTATTTAACCCTCTATAAGGTGTTGCCACATACTGTAAGGATGGAGCCATGCCTATCAAGGCAGAGGAGGGACTGACAGGACTTCTGACCAATCAGAGGGAAGCAGACATCATTGGTTACTATGGAGACCAGACCATGTTCACAGAGGAAGAACTTCGTTCATTGGACAAGGAAGGGAGAGCTGTCATAACCCAGCATGCCATATGGTGAAAAAAAATTACCAAATTTACCTCGAAAGTTCATCTATTGCTCTGATGTTGACGGGCTCTTTTATTTGTTGTCTTGTTATTTCTTTCAAAATGTAAAGGTCAAAAATCCTTCCAAAACTGCCCCTTGGTGCATTTTTAATGATTTTTATATCAAAAGTTGTTTCTGATAATTTCAGTGAAACTAATGGCAAAGAGTGCCTCCTGGCAGTCATCAACGTGTACTGTCCTCGAGCAGACCCTGAGAAGGAGGAGAGAAAGGACTTCAAGCTGAGGTTCTACAGGCTGTTACAGGCCAGGGCACAGGCTTTACTACAGGCTGGCAGGTTAGTTAGAACAGGCTGCTACAGGCCAGGGCACAGGCTTTAATACAGGCTGGAAGGTTAGTTAGAACAGGCTGTTACAGGCCAGGGCACAGGCTTTGCTACAGGCTGGCAGGTTAGTTAGAACAGGCTGTTACAGGCCAAAGCACAGGCGTTACTACAGGCTGGCAGGTTAGCTATTAGCTCACAGTTGATGGCTTTTTATGCATACCAGGGATGCTATCCAGCACTTTTGTTGTACCAAAAAAGTGTACTGTAAATCTTGAAATCTTCACAGAGGTTTTATTTTTGGGCTATGCTCTCCACAGTAAATATGAAATGGCACTAATGCTTCCTTTCTACTTCTACCACAGTTCCAGCAGAAATGAATAAAATTTACATTATACATTGTATCAGTTGCTACCCACAATATTGTCTAGTTTATTAGATTCTTTTTTTGCCTGAAAGTGATTTTGTTGGGTTTTTGCTTTTTGTTAAACATAAGTGTAACACTTTTCTGTTGTTTTTTGTATGTAACAGCCATGTGATTGTCCTTGGAGATGTCAACACCTCCCACAGACCTATAGACCACTGTGATCCTGATGATGACATTGTAAGTACACAGGCTGTGTAAGACTAAGTCAGTTTAACAGCAGTTGTTGTTTTGTCACAACTTCAATCAAGTTTATATGTACTTACAAGAAAAAGGCTATTTGCTGTATGCTGATATGTGCATCATCGTCTTCCTTCTCTCTCCAGGAGTACTTTTCAGAGAACCCAGGAAGGAAATGGCTGGACCAGTTTCTGTTTGACCCTCATCAGACTGAAGACAGTGGTGGCACACTCAACCCTAACAACCAATCAGATGCTTCATCAGGTCAGCTTGACACCTCATTGAACAGCGGCATTCAAAATGCCTCAGAGAAGGAACCAACAGGTGGGCACTTTGTGGACGCCTTCCGATTTTTCCACCCAACCCAACGCAGTGCGTTCACCTGTTGGTCAACGGTGACTGGTGCCCGTCAGACCAACTATGGCACACGTATCGACTACATCTTCGCAAATAGGGACTTTCTCAACCAGTTCCAGGACTGTACCATCATGCCTGAGGTGGAGGGGTCAGACCACTGTCCTGTGAGGGGGGAGCTGGCATGTACCGTTGTCCCTGCAGTGAAATGTCCAGCCCTGTGCAGTAAATACATGCCAGAGTTTGCAGGAAAGCAGCAGAAGCTTTCAGTCTTCTTCACTAGAGTCAAGAAAGGAGAAGTGGGGGAAGAGAAAAGCAGTCAGGACAGTGTCTCTACCAGCCAGAGTAGCTATGATGGTCACTCTGAATCTGAAACATGTAGTCAGCAGTCAAGTTCACAGCTGTGGGAGAGCAACAGTATCAAAAGTGAAGGTAGCAGCGTCATGTCCACCACAAAACAAAGTCAAAGCAGGACCTCCATGAAGAGGACTGCATCAGACCCTGCAGGTAGAAATGTGAAGAAACAAAAGACAGACCAAGGGAAGCAGGGGACTCTGCTGAGCTTCTTTGGCAAGAAAACCAAGGTCGAGACAGGTGACAGAAGAAAAGCCAACATGTCAGACATTCCAAAAGAAAACCCCGAAGCAGATGTGAAAGAAGATGCAGTCCATGACAATGCCATCAGCAACCAGTCTGTCAATTCTTCTAACACTACTGTAGACTCAGATGACAGTAAGGCAAAAGGAAGCAAAGATGCTGAGAATGGCAAAAGCACTGCTGAGACAAAACCCAAGCAAAACCAAGCAGCATTCTGGAAGACTGTCCTGAAAGGGCCGCCCCCTCCCCCGCCCTGCAAGGGACACAAAGAGCCTTGTGTGTTGAGGACTGTGAAGAAACAAGGCCCAAACTTTGGGAAACAGTTCTACGTGTGTGCCAGGCCACAGGGCCATGCCTCTAACCCTGAGGCAAGGTGTGACCACTTCCAGTGGGTCAGTAGGGGGAAGGACAAGTTGTAGCCTTTTCTTTTTTTTTGTTGTTATTTTTTTTTTTTGAATGTCTGTGAATCAGCTTCCAAATGATATAAAGTTACAACAGGACTTGCTTGTTGATATGTGATAGAAAATTGTGCAAAAAATCAAGACTGTTAAGTAGTGATATGATGTAAAGAAAGATGTTAAGTATTTTGTTTCAAATTGTATTCATCAAAATAAAAGAGAGAATGTTATGTTTTAAATATATGCAAATGGCCACTATTGTGTGCAGTATGATTTGAAGCAGAGTATTCCACCAAATATATTAATAGATGCAAGACATTTCTAATTGATTTGCCTGGCAATGTTGCAGATGTGGAACCATGAATGAAGGAATAAACAACTCTGATAATTTTTATATTTTTAGCAGTAGTCATTTGTCTATGATTTTTAGATTTTGCTCATGGAAATATTCATATCTTTGTCATGTCGATGTCAGAGAAAATCACAATATAAGTTACCACAGTTGCCCAATCAAACAGCCACAAACAAAGCCACACTTCATGGCTGTTCATAAGGCTCGGACTGAAAAAAAAGTAACTTTAGCCTCTACCAAGCTTCAAAGTAGCTGGGAAGAATAGAAATTGGCCAAATGGACAGATAACATGCTGGGGAAGTCTGCTTAATGCCCTTAATGTATGCACTTTTTCAGGAGTGACAAACTTTACTCGTTTAGCAGACCAACTCGCCCGTATGTTAACTCTCCATTTGGCTAATATTTAATACTCTTCCACCCGCTTCTAAAGTAGCGGCTAAAGGCAATGACACGAAGAGAGGCTAAAGGACAATGACATGAAGCAGTAATACATGTACTAGTAAGCAGTGTAATAGCGCCCCCTTGTAGAGACTACATGTATTGCGACACAGCATGCGAGAACTTGCATGTATTCTCGCGAGACTTTCTGCGAGAGTTTGAGTACACAGCAAAAATCATGCCTGTCGAAAATTTAGAAGAAGAGGGTTTGCCTAAAAACCCGAACCTTGATCTTTCTCAGTGGAAATTTTACCTTTCCCTGGAAGAACATAAGAATGATAAGGCTGTTAAGAAACAGCTTGTGGACGCCATCATCGAAAACAGTAAGTAATAGCGGAGTAAGGAACAGTTTGACTACCGGTGTGGGGAGGGGGGCAACTCCTGTTTTGTTTAGTCATGTACGAAATACGATGGGTAGATTGGCGTTTATGTCCAGGTTTTACAAAGTACGAAGTACTGTTGGTATTAAGTTTGTCTTCTAAGATTGACTCTAAGCAGAAATAATGTTGTTAAATCTTGTAATAGTTGCTTCTTTGACCAAAAGACGTGAAATCTCACATGTTTGGAACATAATTGTTTTGGATAAATTAAACTGAAAACGTCCACATGAAACGCAATTTTTGGTAGCGAACACTTCCCTAGTTATTTGATGTGGAAATACAATGTTTCTTATGTTGTAACGTTTTGAAATTTGGGTCTTTCTCTATGTCAAAATTATGTCATGCTTCCTGGTTCAAACCTTACAGTTCGGTCTTGCGCAGCTTGTATGTACTTATACTGCATAAAACTGCTGAGTTATGCCTAAATAATGGTTTACCAGTTTTAAAAAAACAACATATTTCCCTCAACAATGCTATAGGGAGAAATGGAAATATGTATCACTTTGCTACACATTTTCCTGGCTTCAGTTGTCAGCCCTGGCTTTGGCCCATTAATGAGGTTTCTTCATCTTGAAGTTGCAAGGAAATATTAACATTCTGATTCCCCCCCTCCCCCCAGACATGGCGCCGTTCTACCTGGAGACATGTGAGGAGCTTGGCTGGACGGTGGACACGGCGCTCCACAGTAGGATGAAGCAGGCCAATGAACAGGAGCTGAAGAGACTGGACGACGTGCTGGCAGACGCTGAGGCCAACCTGGGGGAGTCGGAGATCAAGGACGCTCTGCTGGCCAAGGCAGAGTACCTCTGTAAGATTGGTGACAAGGTGAGGCACGTGGTGCTGTTCTTCCTTTTATTCCAACAACCATCAACATGACAGAAATGACACATACAGTACATGGTACTTCTGAATTGCTAAGACATTACACAGAACTAGTAACACAGTAATAACACACCATACATAACTGTATTAACAGCCTTAATAGGACATAAACTTAATCGTGAATTTACCTGGATTTTGCTCTACAGACAAATAGTGAGTAAGTGAGTGAGTAAAATACTGGTATAGTGGTCACATGTTTGTATGTTCAACCAAGGGTTACTGTTTTATGATACCGTCCTGTTTCATGGCCTTCCTAGATCTCTAGCCTTCTACACTGTAATGCTGAGTCCTTGATAATATGTTTGTTGATAGGTTCATATGAAAACCAGTAATAGCAAAGTTTGTAGCTGCAGTACTTCCAAGAAACAAAAGAGGGCATTCTTGCTCCATGATCAGTCTGTTTGTGCCTCATGGGCTCATCAACCATCAGTTTTGTCTTGATGTTGCGGACCTGAGCTGGAGAACTAGCCTTTCACATGTTAACACTGGGTCTTTGATATGTTCATTAATAAGACTGTCAATATAAAAAAAATTGACCTAAAGGCAGCAGAATCTTCAGGTAGTTGAAGGCAGCTGCCTCAAAATAAAAGAAGAAAAAAAAGAAGAATAACATCAAACAGTAGGGGGCAGTAGCAGTACTTCCATCAAACACAAGGGGGCAGTCTTGCTCCATGGCCAATCTGGGCCCGTATATAAACCATCAGTTTTGCCTTGACCTTGCAAACTTTTCCTTGAACAGGAGAACTGCCTGACAGCATTCCGTAAGACATTTGAGAAGACAGTAGGCATGGGGAACCGCCTGGACGTCATCTTCTACCAGATCCGCATCGGCCTGTTCTACATGGACCACGACCTCATCACCAGGAACATAGACAAGGCAAAAAGGTCAGTAGCTCCTCCCTTTTATGGCTAGCTTGGTTTTTGCTCAGTTTCTTCTTCTTCTTCTCCAAACACATCAGGTCAATGACCTGCAGTTTTTGTATCTTTTTCTCCACCACAAAATCATGACGCTGTGAACCACCATACTACAAAATTGTTTCAACCATGAACATAAAATACTGCAAATAACTCTTCTACTGCATGGTGTCCCCACGAATATAAAAGGACTTTACAGTATTGTATTTTCTGTGCAGTCTGATAGAGCAGGGTGGAGACTGGGACCGGAGAAACCGTCTGAAGGTGTACCAGGGTCTGTACTGCATGTCCATCCGGGACTTCAAGAAGGCGGCAGGACTCTTCCTGGACACGGTGTCCACCTTCACATCGTACGAACTCATGGGGTACAAGGAGTTTGTCACCTACACCGTCATGATCAGTATGATCGCGCTGGACAGGCCACAACTCCGGGAAAAGGTATGTGGCATGTTACTAGTATCTGAGCTATAACTACTGTATCTATCTATATCAGGCCCCTGCTATATTTGATGATCCATTCTGCAAATGATGTACATATATGACTTACTCTGTATGTGTTGGTCCTGTTGTTTTCCAGGTGATCAAAGGTGCAGAAATCCTGGAGGTTCTCCATGGTCTGCCCCAGCTGAGAGAATACCTCTTCTCTCTGTATGACTGTCACTACGCCAGCTTCTTCAAGGCACTAAGTAAGAACCTGTACATCTTAGATACTGTACCTGCATGACTTGAAATGGTTACTTGGGCTCAATAGACTTTTTCCTCCATACCTGCACTGGTGCAGTTATCCATGAAAATTACCTACACTAGACAAATTTTACCCACACCACTCAGAATTTAGAGCACACTAAAACTGTTCAGAAGCCATTGCCACTTTCTTTATATAGGTGGTAGCAGCCATTGAAAGTCCACATATACTGACATGTGGACATATAAACAAATGAATTTGACATCAAGTGTTTCTTATGTTCTCATTTAGCATGTAAAGTGAAATTATTGAGATATCTAGAACTTTTTTGTTTGAAAGATTGGCATATGTATGTATCATGTCTCTGCCCCCCTCAGGTTGGGTGGAGGAGAAGATCAAGGTAGACCGTTGGTTACACCTGCACTACCGGTACTACGTGCGTGAGATGCGTATCCTGGCGTACTCCCAGCTCCTGGAGTCATACCGCAGTCTCACCCTACAGTACATGGCCACAGCCTTCGGTGTCACTGTCGAATTTGTAGACCAGTAAGTAGGATTTTGGCTCTTACAGACTTACATATTGTTATTCACTTCATAGTAGCAAAATTTCACGTTCTGAAGAAAATGGATCAAATCTTCGCAGTGGCAGGAGAGGGGGGGGGGGTACTGACAAATGATTTGATGATTTAATGGTTTAGAAGTCACCATGAAATCAGTAAAAGTAACAGTACTGTAGAATGAATCAGGAATTACCTTTTAAAAATTAGGTGTTCTGTTGTTCTCCCTTGAACTTGAAAAGGAATTCAGGATTAAAGGTTAAAATTATTTATGGTTTCAGCTGATCATAATCCTCTAGTCAGATATTATCTTGAACCTTGTTTTGTTTGTTTTGCAGGGAGCTGTCTCGATTCATAGCAGCCGGCCGCCTGCACTGCAAGATAGACAAAGTAGGGGGCATCGTTGAGACAAATAGGTGGGCATGTTGTCGTCTTCTCATTTTCACTTTTCTTTGTGTCACAACTAGTTTGTATTTTCTTGATATACAATACTATAGATTTATCATTTCTGGTACGATACTTGTTATTATTTCAACCATACAAAAAAAGTTCGTTTGTATGCAATTCCTTTGCAGAGAGTGTATTTAAAGCTCTTTTTGGCATCACCCATCAGTGTATATTGACTTGCAGTAGATAATTTAATTACACAACATTTGTTATTGATGAATAGCCTCAACAAGAAATGTTCAGACTACTAAGGTCATATATTGCCAGGTAGGTGCAGAAAATGCTATACCGGTATTTCGCATGGAAAGCACACAGACACACAACTGAAAGGTGACGATTATGTGTCAACCTTCAGCACACTGAAGAAGCCATTTTGCTGTGTCTACCCTGCTAAGGGCAAGGTCTTGTAGTCTGGTTACCAGTCCCATCCATGTGTGTAGAGGAAAAATGGCCCCAAAAAGCCTGGGAGCCAGGCTGAAGGTAACAGTCAACAGTGTAAGCACACAAACCTAGAAAACATTTTTGGAGAGTTTTGATAGCCACCATTGGCCAAGTGATAATGTGTGAAAGAGACTCAACACCTTGCAAATGGTTTATTTATAACCTGCGAGGTCTGGAAACCATATTATTACCGGGCTAATTATATAGAAGCATCTGTCGACGCGTGGCTTAAACGTGTTGTTACTTTAGGTACGACGGAGGTGTGATGATGAAGAAGGGATTAGGGTTAAAAGCAGGTGTTGACATTATTACACAATAAAGGTAGTTTTTGAAAACTTGGCAAGAGCACACTTAAAGAAAGGCATTTAAATTCCACCATGTACACCTGCATACCTGGTCCTCACAATGCAGCCAGCCATGGAAAAAAAAGGAAAGTGGGAAAAAAATGAAAGTTGCGTGCTATTATCATTTTGGATCCTTCACTCAAAACATGTACCAGGTATCTTTATACAATGTTGTTCCAGCTTTGAATATATCAAGTTATTACACATTCCTTTAGTATTCTAAACTTTGTTATAGCCCTCTTCCTTTCTAAAAACTATTGTATAAACCCATAATTATTACAAACACCCCATTTCCCCAAGAGGCTATGACTGCTGAGCGATCAAGAATTTGCACAATGAATTTCAACATAAAGAACTAATCTTTCCATGTTTTTTTGTTTAGTTGTCTCATATTCCAATTACAAAATCAAGGCACCCACAAATCTGGAAGAAAGGGTGCCAAATACAATGTATGCAGTAACTGAAAGAAAGGTCTGTGAAATACACAGACCAACAATGTAACATGTGCAGTCTGTGGTTTCCATGTGCTTCATTAAATGCCCATAGTCAGAGAACCAGCTGCTGAACATGTGCCCATTGTTCCAGAAATGGCCGGGTAAGTATTGTATCATCCGGAACACGCCTTTTACTGCATTTGCTTCAAGCCATTAACTCATTCTGTGATACTTCCCTTTAAACCTTTACGGCTATTTAATCATGCTTGCATTCATTATCGTTTGGAGTGGCTATCTCAGGTGCTAAGTTAGCACCCCCAAAAAAATGTCCTAATACCCCTGAAGTTTGACCAGTCTGTAAACTTTTTGGGTTTGCCACTAAGTTTCTGTGAGTCCACATTCAAGTTGTTAACTGTTAGCTGAAGTTTTGAATGGTTCAGTGTCTTTGTTGTTGGTACATTATTGTCTGCAGTTTAAAGCACCAGCTGCCTAATGTCAGAAAATGTGATGTCTATTGTACTCTCAAATTATGTTCTCGAGTATAGTGCATCTAATAGTCATACCTTTTCAGCTAACCCCATTATTTCATTTGCTCAGAGTGTTTTAGGGATAGCTACTCCCTTGGGTACTTAAAGTTGCTAGGGTTTATCTTTATTGTGAATTAATTAAGGGTATTAAAATCAAAGACTAAGCACTGTAGGCATCTATATATACTACATGTAGATACAGATGCCTATAGTGCCTAGAGTACCCTTGATTACTACATACTATTCCCTGAGTTCTTTGACAAGTAAATTTATGAACTGAATCAAATAAGGAAACATCAATGATAACATTACTCTACAGCAGCATTTGCAGAGGTAATAACATTTAACTAATGACACTTAGATATTAAGAATATGCTGTATACTACTACTATACATGTATTATAGTAACATTTCTACATATGTACACCTACAAAAATATTTGAGTGCACTGGTGCACCCACAGAAAAAAATTGGGTGCACAGCTCCAAATTTGGATGTACATGTACTAAGATGCACATGCAGCCAGTATTTTGAGTCCTGCAGTGTGTTATGTTCATTGACCTTAATAAGTTCTTTCAAACCTTTATGATACTAGTAGGCCTACAGGCCTAAGGATGTTAACTTAAGGAGTTACTTCTTTACAAAGCGGCTTCCTCAAGGGAACTGTCACTTAAGTAAATTACGTACCTGTGCCAGGTAGTACGCAGGGTAACGGTAAGGTATCATTAAGCTCGGTGGTCAACAATGGTGGAGATGGGGAAATTGCTACCTTCTCCAAAGGAGCTTTAAACTCAGTACATTTGAGGAGGAGACATTAACAACAGATGGCAGAGCGACTGCTTTCTAAGTTTTGAGTAGCAAATTACATGAAACCACCAGACTTTTGTCTCAAAGACTTGCAATTACAATGTGTGTCTAGTCATAGAACCAACCTCTTTTTACCACCTTCACATCATCACAACTTTCTTTTGAACAATGCCCTACATACATGTAACAGATTTACATCTTGTGGGTGCATAACAATTTTGCCTGCAATCTTGAGTCAGTGTAACAAAGGTTTGAAGCCGTCACAATCAGTGACAGCGGGCAATGGTAGCACTGTATGGCATTGTAAATGTGTTAAATTTCATCGTTGTTTTATGCGGCATGGAAAAGGAGGTCTTTGTGGTGTTTGAAGTTCATGGTTGAAACATAAGTTCATGTGGAGTAGACCCTAGTTCAGCAGGTATACAGGCATGTCCACATCTTGGATTTGTTGCTTGTGCACTATGTTCCCCTCCCCCCTTGAGCACCATTACCTGCCGAAGTATCCTCTGCAGCACCTGCAGTACCAATGAAAGCTGGCAGGTGTCCAAAATCTAATCATTTCTTCAATAGGTCCAGACCCACCTACCTACCAAATGTCACAACAATCTATCCATAGCTTCATGCTTTACCACAAACACCCAAACATACATCCAAACAAATCTTACCAAAAATATAACCTATACAAAGGTACAGTCATAGGGAATAAGCACCACATGCTCAAACAAGCTGGGCTGGGTATTGGGGTGAATCCATCATCTACCACAGCTCACCCAACAAGAAAGGGCCCACATAGCTCTGAGGTTGACCCTGATCAGCAGAGTTGTCTGTCTGAAGCTTCTCTGACGTCCTTGCGGCTCAACACTAAGCAGGGCCGCGTAGCCGAAGGGCTTCCGAGATTTTCATCCAGGCCACCCAGATGTTCTAATTGAGCCACATATGAGCAAAGAGTCAGTCAATTCTAAAGTATAACAGCCAGTGGATAAGTCTGTTAGGGTGGGACCTAACCTTTGGTGATAGGTTCAGTGTTATAAAGTACAGCTTCTTGTACACAACTTCAGCTTTGTCTGGCAAATCATGAATACAAGAATCACTTTAATATTAATATGTAACAAACCACTTCTGTATTCAGCTCATATCTGGTAGAGATCTAGCATAATGTTCTATTGCAGAATCCTCTGGTAGTTAGACACTGAATAATCCTAATATTATTATTATTTATTAATATCACTCGGTTCTCAGTCCTTCCAGTGTGGATTTTCAGTATGCCTGTCTTCACTTTGGTTTTTACATCTACATGTATTTCCTTGAAATAGGAGACCATATATGGCTGTTGCTATATAAATCTGCCGTGGTAATTACGTGTCATATACTGATGTTAGATATAGATTGGAATGTCACATTCAAGGGCTCTCACTCAGTATGCGCACACACTTGACGGTCGCCACGCTGGCAGTTTTCTTTCATACCCTGTCAGTAACTCGATTTGCCAGCAGTTAAAGGCATCCAAGGCAATTTCAGGGCGGCAAAACAGAACTATTCTGGATGAGAAAATCTGCCTGATATTGACATTTACTGCCCTCATTCAAAAGCAGCCTGCAGCCTTGTTTGACTTTCTCATTAATAAAGAATTTCTCACTCTCAGCACAGTGTTTTCATCATTTCCTACCTGAAGCATTTGAAATAGCCCCAGAAACGAGTTTTGTGTTGAGTTCCTTTATTCTTTGGTACCACCAATAAATAGCACAAATCAGCCTACAATATGAAAGAAGCAACAGCAACATCACATTTTTGCCTCACAGATATCAGTGTGCTATGGGATTGGGTTGATTCAACTAACTAAAAAAACTGCCTCCTGTCCTGGTGTAAGTCTAGTTTTACCTGTTGTCTTCAGCCTCCAGCAGCTGAAAGGTGTGAAAAACTTGTCAATTTTAGGCAATTTGATCTCCCAGGCTTCCTATTGTTCATGGCATAATTTTGTATGATAGAATTAATGACAGCTTGTTTTCACACAATGACAAATTATGCAACATACAAACATCTACAAAAGTAGTAGAACTTAAACCTTCTCCCAACTGCCTAACCTCACAACCAAATGGTACCAAATGGTGACCTTAGCGGGCAGAAGGTTAAAAGGTCTTGCCCAAATCTTTCAATACTTCAGGACAAGTTAGTTTGCTCCAGCTCTAGATCTGCATTTGGATGAATCAAAAAGAACTCTCTGCCCCACAATATTGCTGACATAACCTAACATTGGGATGATCTTGTGAAGTGTGAAAAACAGGACCATTTGAAAGTTTGCTGGGTACGTCAGAGCTTCCAACCGAGCAGCACTGATAAGTAGCATTGCTAGTGTCGAAATGTCCTCTTCCTTTCCAGGGAATATGCATGACTGTAAAGAGACGGGGGATTCTCAAAGTGTTGCTACACTTTCAGTCCAAATTGTGTTTGTACTTTCTCTGAAAGGACGTTTTAGATTCTGCCCGAGCGGGGAGAGCAATAAACACCCGCTCCTATCTCTGCAATCAGCGGGTATCGCCGCCCTCCCATCATCGTCCATTTACTAAATAATCACCTTGTGGTGCGGGCTGAGTGCGTCGCCCATGATGTAATAATCTCTCCCTTTATTTGAGCCGTGAAAATCACCATGTTCGGGCGCGGGGAGGGAAGTGTGGCCTGTTAGCTTGATTGATGGTACGTGGGGTCTGCACCGTGATCATCATGATAAAGGCACAAGGTGCTGCATTGATATACATGAAGAGGCAGGTGGTGGGTACAGGCCTGCTCTGATGTCTACCGGTGGCTCAGCACCGATGGATGTTTTAGGATGCATGGGTGACTCCGCGGGAGAGGTCAGCGATGGTTATCAGCCGGGATCTTGCTGTAATTGTCCGGCACTTATGCGTGCAAAAGTCCCCAAGGCGGCAGGGAACAGTCTGTTCCACCTGTGTCGCCACAATGATACAGCCAATTAGTCCCTTGTAAACACGTTCTTATCTAAGGGGAGAAACAATTTCCCTGCAATTTCCTTGTTATTCTAATTCTCGACTCCTGGTTGTTACACGGCTGGAGGCAGAAAGTTTTTTACACACACACACAGTTACAGAACAGATGAGACAACTCCCGCAGAACTCTGTCAAGTTTCCATTCCAACCTCTGACACAGAACTTCTTAGGAGACCACCTGCTAAGAAAGTGTGAGGAAGGTGATGTCTTGTAAATAAAGACTGAAGGACGACTGACAACGGCCACATATTTTATTGCCCTTAAATCACACTTCATCACAAGCCACTTGTGACGTCAACTTGCGGCCTCATCAGATTGTTTTCCACTTAACTTTTAGTGCCCTAATGGGAACATAAGTTTTACTTGATGATGGGTGCTCCTAGGCTTCAGCTCAACTTTGACTGATGAGTGATTTTTCTTGCCTTTGTGTTTCAGGCCTGACAGCAAGAATTGGCAGTATCAGGTAGGTCCCATATATCATACTGTTCTCAGTGCGTATCTGCCAGCTGTATGCTAACCATGATTGCACAAGTCTCGTACCTTTATAACCGTATCCTGGCCGTTCTTATTAACGTCCTGAATGCGTGAGATTGGGAAATAAGTTCTCCACATCCACCTTTTTTCTGTCAGAAGTCCGAATTAATTACGAAACAGTGGACACACACAAGGGGGACCCAGCAGAAAAATGTCAGCGAACAATGCGTGGCATTTGTACAGACAAAAAGAAGCACAGGGATGAACCCCTTGCTGAAATGCCCCCAGAGGCTGTCAACCTGACATGATGTTGACTTATTTATGGCGGGGTGCCTTTGTCGCCGGTTCATTTATCAGTCGACTTGTTACCGACTCTCTTGTCTTCACTTTCCCGCTGCAGGAGACCATCAAGAAGGGAGATCTGCTGCTGAACAGAGTCCAGAAACTGAGTCGAGTCATCAACATCTGAGCAGCGGCCGCTATGAGTCATCCGGGGGTCAACCAGGGGACACGACACCTCCATCACCCCACTTAGCCTCCGCTGATATGCATCTCTCTAGTTGGCCGGGTTTAGCTGGAAGGGGCATGTGTTTTACCTACATGTTTTCCCACACCACGCCTATCTCTCACATGTCATGTTAATCTGTACCGCCCCGGGGACGGGAACAGTTCACCACTCGACAGTTCTGCCTGCGAGCGAGCAAACTGTTTCCTTCTGTCGTTCACAAGTCTCTCTCTCGTTCATTTGCAACCATATGTTCAGTATCCTTACTATTATCTCAGATCTTGTAACAATTAGAATGTTTTCTTACTTGGACAGAAATGAAATGGTAAAAAATGAAGCAACAACATGGGTAGAAATTAAACATCAAGTTTCTTTACATTCTTGTCATCAAAATGCTCTTTTATTTATACATGTAGATATATATATATATATATATATGTCAGTCAGTCTCATAAGACTATGGCTTGCGCAAAACCAAAAGTACACATATATGGCTTACTAGCTGCAAAGGTCTTCGTATGCCTACTTTAAGTATGATATTTTAATCCCTCCTATCAAATGAGATGTAAAGGAAAAGGCTAATGAACCATACATGGTGTTCATCTGTGGGAAAAGGCAACTCAACAACATTTATCAATACATTCCCCTGAAGACAAAGATAAAGAAAATGAAGATTGACCTTACATAATGGTCAGTTGTCATGATATCGTCATACAAGGCACAACATGTTTATTGGAGGTTTTATATAATATGAAAAATTATTTCAGGTCTTCAAATTCTGTCAGTACAGTTGTAGAATGGCAACATCACCAGTCAAACAGTTGCCAAACCATGCATTTGAAGACATTGCAATCATTTTTGGCTCCAGATGATCCTGAGATACTCTGCCACCATACAGCCTAGGTTAGGTCATATACTGACATCCCAGGAGGACACTAGAAAAGGAAATTGTTAATAACCAACCACGTCTTGCTGCTTGACTGCCACTGTTTTGATGAGATAGGTTGTACCCCATGGTATTGTATGTCCCTGCAAAAGTAAGACTATTTTAGACCATACATGCATGGTCCATCCATACAAGTTGCAGAATGGCCACAAGGAGAAAGTGGTTCTGTTGCTACGCACATAGTGTGAACTGATTTCAGACACAAAGACTAACCCTAGGTAAGGAAAGAAGGGACTACCTTGTAATATTCACATTATTATTGACAAGAAGCTTGTTTCGGTAAAGGTAAAGATAGTCTCATATCCTTTGAGTGGGGCAGTGGGAACACTATATCTAGGGCGCAGTATTGGAAGGTGGAGTCCATCCATTTCCTATCGCCTTTTACCTCCTCAACTGAAGTCTGGTACCCATTTTACACCTGGGTCATGGAAGTCTTGTCAAGTGCCTTTGTCAAGAATGTCAGGAATCAAACCCGTGACCTCTTGATCCCCTGTCCGCTAGCCTAACCACATGACCGTTGGACAGCACTTCAAGCATGTCTATTTTATGATATTTCACCCCTTCACCTGGACATGAGCAGGTGAAAGCCTACAGATGGAGGTTAATGACTTACAGACCCCCTGCCTGATACCACAAAAGCTGGGCTGGTCATTTATTCGCCCTGTCCAGTGGCAGTCACGGGTCCATTTCAAACTCGCTTTGTCCGAAGGAATTAACTTTACGACAGTTACTGACTCTTAATTGAAGTGAAGTCGCTTTATCATTTTTTTTAGTGACAATGTCCTTTCCTTGCAACAACTGGAAACTGATCAATGAGGTTCTTTTTTTCAAATCACGTGTGCAAAATTATCAAAAGCTTTAAGCAAATGTAGAAAAAGTTTTGCTTCTAAAAAGAAAGCTCAAGTCTGAAAGTAGGCCATTTTGTGAGAACGCGGTCAGGCTTTCACCTCTGGCTCATAAATGTTGCTAGTATTATTTATTGCGGAGAGGTGTGGCAGGTAGGAGGAGAACAAAGGGTTAACTGGACAATTACTCTCACCTTGATGACCACCTACGTTGTGGGGTACTACCACTATATACATACATACATACATACATACATACATACATACATACATACATACATACATACATGTTCTTGGATATTTCATTAACTCCATTAACTTCCGTACAATACAAATGCTAATCTTCCTGAACAGTACAATCACATAACAGATCAAGGAGCTTTAACACAGCTTTTAACCTTCTTGAACAGATCTATAAAAAATCAAAGCCGTAAACGTCTATCTAAAGTTCAGAGCAACGAAACTCTATCAAACTCTACCAAAGCAGGAACGATCTATCACAGCTTTAAACGTCTTGTTAAAGTTAAGAGTCTATCAGAGCTGCAAAGGTCTATCGAAACTACAGCTGATGCTGATATTGACGGAGCTGTGTATATGGATGGGCTGTCAGACCAAGTGCCGTTCATTATTCTTCAACATAACTGAAGGAATGATGGATCTGAATGATGGATCTGTTGGATTGTTTGTCTGAATGCTCATACAGTGCACAATAACGCGTCATATCGGTCATATACGCGTTACACCTGCCCAACTCTAACCACTGTTAAAGGCATCCTATGCAGTTTTTCTCATCATTCTTCTAATGTAGTAAGTGAATCAATCCTTTCACATAGCATACTGATATCTGTGAGGCAAAAGTGTGATGTCACTGACGGAAAACGGTACGTTGCTTGTTACGTATGGCAGGCTGGTTCTGGCTACTAATGGGCGGTACCCCATTAAATATAGAGACGCTTCAGGTTGCTTGTTTTGGGGCTATGTCAAACGCTTCAAGTATGAAATAATGACGAAAATGTGCTAAGAAATGTCACTATATGTCTATACCAGTGCCCCTGAAATGGCATTGGATATGCCTTTAAAGCATGCCTTAGTCCATACGTCAGCCATGCCGTCGCATCTGCTGCAATCTTTTCCTTTCATTTCTTTTTTTGAATTCCTGATCATTTACGACCATCCATCGTCTCCCAAATGTGCATCTGTAGGACCCCCAACCGCGGGCCGGCCCGGACCCGGGCGGCACCTTGTGGCGCGTCCCGCCGCTGCCCTAATGCGCTGTGACAAGTCGGACATGCCTCCGTCCTGCCGCTGCGTCGCAGATGTCCGACACATTGTGCTTCCTGGAGCGTGGCCTGTTTACACATAATTACAGGTGAAAGGAAACAAGAAAATATATTAGACAGACTAAAGAGGAATCTGGTGACGCTCCGGTCCATTCCGACGCTTTATTGGTTGAAATACAAAAGAAAGCAGGTCCAGACAAAAATCGCACCTGCTTGGCACAAAACCTCGGGTCACGTCGGGTTAGCGATAACGACAACAAGCGTGATGGGGAAAGACGAAACCGTAATTAAATCTTCATTTGGCCATTGTCCCTCGTGTTCACCTGTTCAAATAAACTTCTGTCCGTTTTCGCGCCATTTTCGAGCCATGTGCACACGGCTCCACATAATGCCGCGGCCCGCCGGTTTGATGTGGTTTGATGTGGTCGGAGTCGTGAACACTTTTCAGAGCGGGGCCACTTTTGGAGCAGGTGTTGCGCGCCATTTTAGTAAGGAATGACGAAAAAAATCACAGGATGTCTCTCGAAATATTGTAGACAACATCACAAATGTTTTCATATGTAGAGAAACTGTTTCTAAAGTTGTGAAATGTTTGAAAACTATATTAGAAATAATTACAAACATTTGAAATTAATTCTATTAACAATACTAACAGACACCCAGGCGGTGACTTGGAATTCAGTCAAAAAACAGCGCAATCAAAAGTTATAATTATGACTACAATGCTAGATGTCATGATGATGACAGAGACGAATAGCTTTCTGTTCCACTTAGTGTGATGAAAGTCGCTCTTAAGGTAAGTTTCCAAGTCTTCAAGTCACTCTGACACGTTCAAGAAAAGTCAAACCCAACAAGTTACAGCCAGCTTTTTGACTACAGTAGTCGCGTGTTATATATGTGTTGTGCTTCGGTGTTTGTTCGTCATTTTCCTTTTATCTGCAATTAGCCCTCGGGCAAGAATTTGCAATCAACTTATTATCATCATCATCATATTTGGATACGCAGGGCCATGAATATGGATAGGTATTAAACATTTCCGTATACCCTTCATTCTAAATACATATAGAACATTATCATAGGGCAGCAACGAAGTGTAATCCTTATTGTTTCTCTCACACGTATACTCTATCACATTACTTTATGCATGTATCACTTGCAATTAGCCCACCGGCACGTGTTTGCAATAAACTTAATGATATTACCGTTATGCCCCGATATTTCTATGTAGTAGTCCAGTTTCTCACCGTCTCAGGCAGGAAAGTGACGTGCAAGTCAGACAATAAATTTGATCACAGAATCTTTCAATCATTTGATCAGAAACCTGTCATTAAAGATTCCAAGACTCATCGACCATCGCCCGTGCGCGCTGAAGGACGTGTGTGTTCACACGTTATGTTCACATTAGGTCAGTTTTCGGACATATCTACCCGGGTGGTATCTGGTCTGGATGGTCAGTTTTTGTCTGACGGAAATGCTGGAGGGGGCAAGGACCCAGAATAGTTACAGTTATTATAAATGAAGAACTTTATTGTACATCTATACCCACTGGGTTAAATACAGGTCACAACAAAAGAACAGTTTGCATGTACATGTTTGCTGTCAAGCTAGCTAAAGTCTGATAATGAATTCGACTTTTCCTCGGCTAGTATGTTGAAACCATAGAATGTCTGTCTGCTGTAAGGAATTGTCAATATCAGCGACTGTTATCTAGATCTTGTTGGAAAGTTTGCTAAAGGGTTAAGTTGAACTCGGATAGTGTTTAAGAATGCGCACATAGAAAGGCTTAATGACGCAAGAAAGTCACAGAAAGTAGAAGAGACACAATGAAACTAGAAGAGACACAATGAAAAGGAAACAATAAATCGAAAGTAAATTAAAGCCTGGCAATTTCCATGCGGTCATATCTGTTTCATTGAGCATCGCCAGGTGTTTAACCCGCAAAATTACCTGTCCTGCCAGTCTTAATTGTACTGGAAACTTTTGTACTGCGTTAAGGGTAATTTTTGGCCCGATTTTGAGCTGTCATCATGCAATGTACAGATCCATGTATCAACATCATACAGGAGTCTGCGAGGTCGTGTAAGGTAATTTGAAAGGACGCCGTCATAAATTATCGTGAAACATGGCCAGACAATTCGATACACAGGATAGGATCTGCAGTCATTTAGTCCAGTCTACCCACCACCTGCGAAGCCTCAAATTTATAATGACTGTTATCGCGTTTGATAAATCTATTTTTCAGTATAGTATAGGTTTACAGTAACAATCTGTTGAGGCTTATGTTGTCACATAACGTCTGTGCAGG